TGGAAAAAAGTATTCAATACTTGAGGGTCCTCCCTGTGCTTTATCACCTTATCCATCTGTACAACTAAATGAAAAATTAAAAGACAAGATGCAGGAGAAAGGGAGCAGGATCATGTGGCTGTGTTTAAGTTTTCTCCAGTAGGCAGCTCAAAGTTCCCTTCACTTCAGTGTTTGCAAAAATGAAAAGATACTTATTAGATGGGAAAAGGCATTAAAACATGACTGTAAGTGAACTCAGTTATGGTGCTCAGACATCCAAAATATTCTTTATGGAAGTTCTTTTGATTTAACAGAGGATTATAAAACATAAAAGAGGATAATAATTTGGTCATTTATTCCCAGTTAATCAAAAAGGTGGGAGGAGAAGGGATGCAACAGTTTTAAGTATCTCTGAAGGAGAATCAGTAACCTGATGGAGAAGTGAAAGACTAATAGAAAGTGAATGTGACTTGTTCGGATTCCATCAGTCATAGTGGGAAACACAAACAAAAGTTGGGAAATTGATCCATATTCATACTTCAATTTCAGTCATCCTATTACTGGAAATATTACATGACTTATTTTACAAGCTCTCCATGTTGACAACTCCTATCAACCAATCCAATGTTCCTGTACTGAAAAATAAACCAAAGAACCACCATCCAAAACCCTTTCCCTAGAAACTTACTTTCTTTTCAACTGCTTCTGGCGTCTTCGTTTGGGGCTCTCATTTTCAGATTCGCTACTTGCCTTTAATTGAAAAGAAAGAAAATCAGGTTGTAGGCTTCACTCTGGACTGGCTCCTCAAGGATGCAGCCCAAACACATGCAGGTGGGCTGAGCCCAGGCCCCTTCCCTGCCCTGCTGAAGGATGTTTTGGTGTGATACGGCTGTGCCAGAGCAGTCAGCTCCCTGGCACCACCACCTTGGCTGCAGAGTCATCTGCTCTGCTCTGAGCGTGGAGGAAACTCTTTGCAGAAAGCCTGGACAGCTCTACAATATCACCTGTCCTGAAGTCCTTGAGCTCAGGACCCACCTACCCCTCAGCATCAGCCTCAGCACCTGGCAGACACAGTCGAGGCAGTGGCAGTGTCCAGGCAGATCTGCAGTTTGAGCAGCACCCCACGGGTTACAAACCCGGAGGGGAATTTATCCCACTAAATGCATTGTGATCTCTGCCTTCATTACAGAAACTTCCTAGAAGGAAGGAAATTCTCATAAAATGACAATATTCTCATCACAAGAGTGTCCTTGCTTTGCTGTTGGGTTTTTTCTCCCATAGCAAAAGTCACTGAGGACCTGACTGGGTCAGAGCTGTGTCCTGCTGCTTTGCTTCCTCTTAATCCGCTTGCCTCCACCAGTGAAGTCTCACTGGCTAAATATATCTAGAGCTATTTTAACTGCCTGCTGTACTATTTTAAATGTGGGTGTCATTAACTCCTACAGACCAAGATAGCTAAAGAAATCTTGAGGCTGGTTGTACACAACCCCATTTTCATAAAAACTAGTCAGCCATGGAAACAGATTACCACACTTGCCCCAGAAAACAGAAATAGGCAGGGATAAAACTGAAAAAAACCATGTGAGATTTCTAAAGGAGTATTAAAATGACAGAAGTAACCTCCAAGACTGCTTGTTCCACACACTTACTGAAAATCTTCAGCTTCTAACTGCTTTTTGGTGCAGTATTCAGCTTTGACTGTAGGTACTGTCTGTCCATCATCACAGGTACCTCAGTTTGCATCCCCTGTAACTCTAACTGCCCTCCTGGGTACAGCTCACACAGCTTCAGCACAGAGCTGTTCACACAAAGATTTTGGCAGACCCATGGTTCACCCCTCTGCTCTCTTTCCGCATCCTTTATTCCATTTTCCAGCTTTCCTTCCACCCACAGAAATTTCCCTCTCACTTGCATCAGTGTTTCCATTAAAACACACTGAACCACTGGATGCTGCATGAGACCAAGAGCTTTGCTGAATTTCTCTGTGGTTTGGTGCCAGATTTACATGTGACACAGTAACACCTTTTGCACTGTATCTTACTACAAACATGTGTTCATCCACCTGTTTCACAGCCCTGCATGAAATCCCTGTCTCATTTACCAAGCATCCAGGAAGCAAGTGACAGGCAACCACCACAGACAGCCCTACCTTCCCTTGCAACAAGCCAAGCATTCCAGACATTTCAGTTTTGACAAACAAAGTTTAGAAGTCCTCAGTTTTCTTGTTTCTCTTTTAATCTCTTATCCACTTTGCGAAGCATCCTGCTTTACCTTTCCAATTTGGCATGACTTTTGAGCACTGTGCCTCAGTACATGTTTACTTTTTGCAGCCTTTTGGCAAGCCCAAATTAAAGAGAGGTGGATTTCTCTCTCTTCTGCTCTGCGTCAGAGATCACATTTGGAGAAAACCAAATACAACCTTTAGCTCTTTGAAATTAACTCCTCTTCTTTGCCAAAATCCCATTTGCCAAGTTTCTAGTGTCCATTTTTTCTAATCCTTGTACTCTCCTCCTGCTCTGCCACTGTCTGTACGGAGCTGAAGCCCAAATTAAAGAGAGGTGGATTTCTCTCTCTTCTGCTCTGCGTCAGAGATCACATTTGGAGAAAACCAAATACAACCTTTAGCTCTTTGAAATTAACTCCTCTTCTTTGCCAAAATCCCATTTGCCAAGTTTCTAGTGTCCATTTTTTCTAATCCTTGTACTCTCCTCCTGCTCTGCCACTGTCTGTACGGAGCTGATGATATCAATGACTCTCCCTCTTCTGCCTTGAAGGATTTAACTTGTGACTACAGCTCAGCCACCTTCGGTTACATTTTTCAAAGACACCATTGTCTTTTTTGGATGTGTGTCAAGCCCAGCTCTATCTCCTCTGACACTGCCAGTCCCCAGCCTGAGTCATCTGCCTGCCTTGTGCTCCCACACCCTCCCTGTCCCAGTACAGAGTGCTGGGAAGGCTGTGCCTGCAGCTCCTCAGCCTCTCCTCTCTGCTCCCTCGCCTACCACTGTCTCCTGGCAGTAAACTCCTTGGTGAGGAAGTGCAGATGCAGGAAGCTGGGGGCACACCAGGCCCAGAGCATGCACCTGAGGTCCCATCTGCACTCCAGCCTGCCACCCACCACCCTCAGGAAGAACGGTTGGGAAATCACATGCAACTTGAATTTTAATAACATCACCTCCCTGAATGACACCAGCTAAGACAGCAAAATCCACCCCCAGTTCCCAAAGGGATTTTTGTCAGCCCAGCAGGAGATGCTGGGGGCACACTGCTCACTCTTAGAGCCCAAGTACCAAGTGCCTCTGCAGTGCTGTTGCTGTGGCCAAGAAGAAAGATGACCTGTCTTCCCTAGTGCCCTCCTTCCTTACCAAACACTACAATTTATTCCTGCACCACTACTTCCAACTGGACTAGGAACTGGCCTCTTACAATTTGTTTTCCCCACCTCCAGCTGAAGGGATCAGCCTTCCCTCTCCATGCCTCACTGGCTCCTCACATCTAATTTATTCTCTCTCCCAGCACGTAAAGTGCACGATTTTACTAGATTAATCATGCTGTATTTTGCTGTCAAGCAACACCATACACACATAATGATGCTGAATAGAGCACGAAGCAGAGCAGTACAGCAGCACCTTTAAAGTTCTGCTCCTACAGATTGGCCATAAGTGTCATCACTAGCACAAGGCAGGAGAAATGGAGACTCCAGACCACTGAAGAGGAGGTCCAGGTGAAGCTCTGGAGTTCACACCTCCTACTAGAAGAGATGGAGACTTGCTTAAGCAGAGCTAAGAAATGTCAGACTAAAGTCAAAGTGAGGATTTGCTTATTTCAGGCTTAGCAGAGGCCAAGCTCTAGTGCTCCAGAAAAGCTGGAGAATCTCAGCTCGCCAGGTTAGTTTTATGTCTGCTAAACTTCTCTTTCCTCATGAGACTGGTAGTGCTTGAATTTTCAGCAAATACATGAGGCAAAGCATTGATCAAAATGCAAATGAGCAGAATATTTTTTCCCCAGTAATAAAAACAGCTGTATTTTAAGAACACTCTGGTGCATGACTTGTGGCCTCTCACAGAAAAGATGCACTGTGACATTTATTACTAACTTCAATCTGAAACCACCCTTTTTATAGTAAAAAGATTGGTTCTATTTTGGGCACATTCATTTCTTGACTGCTCCAGAATCATTAATGTTTGGGTTGGAAAGGACCTTAAAGATCATCTCATTCCAAATCCCTTACCATGGGCAGGCATTCCTTCTACTAGATCAGGTTGCTCAGAGCTCCATCCAACCTGGCCTTGGACACTGCCAGGGATGAGGCATCCACAGCTTCCCTGGGCAACCTGTGCCAGTGTCTCGCCACCCTCACAGTAAGTAACTTCTACCGTATATCAAATCTGAATTTCCCCTCTTTCAGTTTGAATAATCTGCAAGGCACCTGGCTCTGCATGGGTCACCTGATGGTGATAATTTATTAACGGGCAAAAAAAAAAATGCCTGGTGAAGTATTGCTTTTACTAAAAAACCCACATGTGGTCTTGTTCCTGGAGACAGCCCTAGGCCTCTGAGCAGCTCTGCACGCCTATGCAAAACTGCACTTTCGCTTCCCAATGGCTCAGCCCACGCCTGGGTATTGATCATGAGTTATCACCCTCTCTGATCACAGCTTGGACACCTACACAATGTGCCCAGAAGTCCCCAGAAGGCAATCATTTCCAGCACACAAATAACCCTACCAAAGTGCTGCTCTCAGAGGACACAGTTATTGAACAGTGCCCCAAAACCTGAACCACCTCCACCTATGTGCCGCCTCCCCTTCACAGGTGAGTCATGGGGCAGCACACAGGGAGCTGTGATGACTGATCCTTGCTCCGGTCTCTGAGTCTGCCACGCTGCCTCGGTGATGCTCCTTGCTAATCTGCAGAGAAGTGCTAGGGAAGAAGGCAATTACAAGCTCCTAGACACTGTGCTGGAAGTCCCAAGCAGCAAGCGACAAGAGCAGGTCACTGGCGACAGGATTAACCCTGCAAAGGTAAAAAGCAATCTCAAGAGGAGTGAAGTGCCTTGGGTTTCTGCCAGCTCCAGCTGCAGCACGGCTCGGTGATGCTCCTTGCTAATCTGCAGAGAAGTGCTAGGGAAGAAGGCAATTACAAGCTCCTAGACACTGTGCTGGAAGTCCCAAGCAGCAAGCGACAAGAGCAGGTCACTGGCGACAGGATTAACCCTGCAAAGGTAAAAAGCAATCTCAAGAGGAGTGAAGTGCCTTGGGTTTCTGCCAGCTCCAGCTGCAGCACGGAGTACTCAGCACAGGCTTGAGC